CCACTGGTAAAAAGCACAGTTTCCCACAATGCACTCTCAATGTAGTTAATTATAATTACAGACCACAGCAAAAAAAAAAAAAAAAACATCTCCTGCCCCAAGCCATCAAGCACGGTGTAAGTGTCTCTCTGTAGTCTTGCAATTCCACTCTCCTACAACATTGTAAATTGAAATCTATTTCTCCCAACAGGATGGAACACCTTTTACAAAATGTTATTTTTGCAGCCATCGGCAATTTTCCTTGTCCTCTTCCCATAAAATGCCTCGGGGGGCGGGGGGGAGAGTGAAGCATTGCAGCGAAAATGATCCGAGGCCCCCCAACTCGTTAAAACACACATATACTACATTATCGGTGATCTACAATACAATATTGGGTTTATGAAACATTTTAATGAACATCAGGAAGCCATACAATAGTTATTGGAGCCATTATAGTTTAATTTAGAATAGAATAGAATAGAATAGAATAGAATAGAATAGAATAGAATAGAATAGAATAACAGAGTTGGAAGGGACCTTGTGGGTCATCTAGTCCAACCCCCATCCAAGTAGGAGACCCTACACCATTTCTGACAAGATGGCCATCCAGTCTTTTCTTGGAAGTCTCCAGGGATGAAGCTCCCACGACTTCTGGAGGTAACTTCTGTTCCATTGGTTGATTGTTCTCACCGTCAGAAAAATTCTCCTTATTTCTAGGTTGAATTTCTCCTTGATCAGTTTCCATCCGTTACTCCTTGTCTGGAATATTGATGCAGGGTGAGTTGCCAAAGCTAGGAAGTGGTGTGTGTGTGTGTGTGTGTGTGTGTGTGTGTGTGTGTGTGTCATTTTGGGAATTACAATGTTCCAGAGAGTCCCAGAAGAACATGTCTGCAGCTGCAACATGTTACAAGAATGGGACTCTGACTCATTCAAAAGACTGGATGGTAAATAATTTAATGTTAGGCTGCCAAAATGAGAATTAGTCACCAAGCATAAAAGGACCCGATACCAGGGGTAAAGGAAAATGAAAAGAAGATAAGATAACCTTTATTATCATTCTCTTTGGCACCAGAAGGCAGGGCAGAAGTAATGGGTCGTTCTCGGGGGGGGGGCTGCCCCCAAATGGCTTGCTTTACTATTGCAGGATAGGACAAGGTCCTAATCAGTTAAAGAGGGTGCACCCATAGTTGTGTGGTACAAGATGAGATGATTGCGTACACCTAGATCAGTGATGGCGAACGTTTTAGAGACCGAGTGCTCAAACTGCAACCCAAAACCCTCTTATGCATCGTCGAGTGCCGGGTGGGTGTGGCCCATTGGGTGGGTGTGGCCCATTGGCTGGGCATGGCACACTGGGTGGACGTGGTTGTGGTGGTAACGGCAGACTGGGTGGGACTAAAAAGTTCAATCAGTCTCCTTCTGATGCTTTGGAGAATAGCTTGACTCCCTCTTCTTTGGGACAGCCCCTGAGATATTGGAAGGCTGCTATTATGTCCCCCCTCGTCCTTCTCTTCGTTAAACTAGACATACCCAATTCCAGCAACCGTTCCTTGTATGTTTTAGCCTCCAGTCCCCTGATCATCTTTGTTGCTCTTCTCTGTACTCTTTCCTTTTTACATGCCAGGCTATTTTTTAACCAACACCTGTACCTTTGAACTCCACTAGAGAATATTTGGGAAAATAAAATGTGGCTTCAAAACGTTATCCCAAGCTGATAACAAGTTGGGGTTTTTTTTAGGGTGGGGGGTAAATTCAAATGCTATTTGACAGATGGGCTTAATTAGCAATTCCAATGCCAAACCATAATATTCGCCGTTAATATTCATTCCATAACACCCTGCTGCTTCTGATAATATTGGTATGTTAATCTTATTACAATAAGGGTCTTTTGCACTCGGAGCCTTTGCAAACAGAAAGAGTGATATATTTGAAAATAGCGATAAGAATGACGTTTGCGCTGCCTGGCTGTTTTGTCACTTGTGTGAGCGTCTCTTTAATCTGGGAAATTTCACCTGTGGTAGCCAAGCAGCTTTATTATTGCTGCTTCCCCCAATCCACTGAAAGCCCAGCGATGACACAAAAGCACGGAACAGCCTCTAGTTAATTAGTGTTGCCCTTTTTATAGCTCTGATTTCTTAGCAGATAGAAGATCGAGGTAGGCAGAATTAGAAGGATGTCAAGGCTGAAATGATAAAAGCCAATTCACTCCCAATACTGATTTATTGACGTCGAAACCATAAAAATACAGGTTTTCTTCCAAGGAAAGCCATTCTTTTCTCTTTCTCTCACAGGCTCCCAAAACTGAAGTGGGTGAAAAGATTTTGAAATGTAAACAGGCGGTCCTCCAGTTATGACGTTAGGGGCGCCCGGAATTTCCAGTGTAAGTTGTAAAGTGGAGAGCGACCCAATTTTACAACTTCGCTTGTGGTGCTTGTGATGCAAACACAGGCGTCCTTAAGAGACCGTTGCGGGGTTGTTGAAGCAAATCTGCTTATTTGCAAGAAACTGGACGGAAAGGGTGGAAACCGGCAAAAAAAAAAAAACCAACATCATAAATTGGGGTCACGAGATCGTGCAAGGCTGCAACTGGCTGTAAATGGAGTCATGTAACCTTCGCTCCCTGTGTGTGTGTTTGTGTGCCCGTGCACATCTGTGTGCTGCCAGAACCAGATTGTAAGTGGCTTTTGTGGAAGAAGGGATCTGTCATAACTTCAAACAGTGACCGGTCATTAAACAAGGACTCCCTGTAGCCTTTCTTCAAGGCAGGAGTCATGAAATAATGAGGACTCCCCTGTACCCTTTCTTCAAGGCAGCTCATCCAAAGACATCATGAATGAACACGGATGGGTGGACCAGTGAAAGCTCCAAGTTCAGAAGGAACGTGGGTATTGATCCCGTCACCAACCCAAGCTTCCTCATCCAATTGTTCTCTACAACCTGACCCAAGGGAGGGATCCTGATGAATCCTCTCCGATCCAGTGGATTGTAAACGAAAGCCAACACAATTCAGATTTGTTCCGTTTTGTGGTTCATCCGATCCCATCGTGTCCTTGGGAACGTAGGGTCCTCCAAAGCTTTGGGTCTTTCGTTCCAGAACAGGAGAAGATCGGAGAGGGCTCACCACCACCACGGTGTCCTAGCGGAATAGCCAGCTTCCGAAATGCTGACTGCTCAAGAGGTAAGTTTCACGTCATCCGGGCGGGAGGAAGAAAAAACGGAGGAGCTATAAATCCACATCTTGAAAGGTGGCTTGAAAATTCACTAACAAGATTGACGAGGAAGCATTTTTAACTCCTCCTGGAGAATTCAAGGCACAAACCAAGGATTGCAATTAGCCAGGCATTCCTCTTTAAAAGCTCTTAATTTGAAGAAACGGTACAAGGGAATTGGACAACATTCAAACCATCTTCCCTTTCCTTCCCCCTCTTACGAGTGTGTGCACGTACACACACAGACACAAACGCACACGCTGCTTCCTTCCCCCCTCCCTGTTTCCTTTAGCTGACCGTTGCTCAAGCTCAGCAATTTTAAGATGTGTGGAGTTCCCCAGGTAGCATGCTGGCTGGAGAACTCTGGGAGTTGAAGTCCACGTAACGTATTAGTTGCTGGCAGGGGAATTCTGGGAGATGGAGTCCGTGCATCTTAAAGTTCTGAAAATCTAGGAAAGTTCTCAGTCAATGCAAGTCATGGCTGTCCCAAAGGTGTTTTTTTCAGGAGGCAACTGAACTTAGTTTTTTTTTTCTTTGAAGACGTTTCGCTTCTCATCCCAGAAGCTTCTTCAGCATCTAACTGGATGGTGGGGAATGGAAGGATTTATACTCCTTGCAGACCGCTGGTCATTTGCCTTCTTTTGGAGAGTCGTGGAGGCTACTTGGAGGATTACCTGTGTCGTCAGGGTCACCTGAGGAGTGCAAATGGGTGTGGAGCCTTTTTGGAACCATTTGCACCACTCAGGTGACTCTGAGGACATAGATAGACCTCCAGGTGGCCTCAACGACTCTCTAAAACAGGGCTTTTCCACTTTTTCACCCATGGTACCACTTTTAGGATATGGCAACATCCGAGGACCACCAGTCGCCTAGCAAGGTGTCAAAAACTTGATGACCAAAAAAAAAAAAAAAAAGGAAAAAAGTGATAAAGTACAGGTAGTCCTCGACTTACAACAGTTCACTTAGTGACTGTTCGAAGTTAAAATGGCACTGAAAAAAGTGCCCCCCAAGCCACAGCCGAGCAAGACAGCGCCCGGCTGCGCTCTTCCTCCTGTCCGAGGTTTTCATTGTTGTGAGCATTTCTGTTGAGGATTGGCTGCGGGGGTGGGGTGGGGGGGGTGTTTGGTTTTTATTCCCTCCTCCCATCTGCTAGGTGGTTGCAGCAGGTTTTGGTCACTCCACATGACCCTGGGACACTGTGACCATCATAAATATGAATCAGTTGCCAAGCATCTGAATGTAAATCACAAGACCCTGGAGATGCTGCAACATTCCAGCTGATTGGCGCTTCTTCTGGGCTCAGCAGAAGCGCCAGGATCAGTGCTGCTTTTCAGCTGATCGGCACTTCGTCTGGGCTCAGCAAAAGAGCCAGGATCAGCACCGAGCTCCAGCTGGAGCCTGGCGCTGATCCTGGCGCTTCCGCTGAGCCCTGACAGCCCTGCAGCTCCAACCGTTTCTCGCTCAGGTTTGTGCGGTGCTAACACCAGTTCAGCTCATTCCCCTCCCCTACTACCACTTTTCTAGGACGGTCGTGTACCACCTGCCAAGTGCCAATGTACCACAAGTGGTACCTGTACCACTGGTTGAAAAGCCCTGCTCTAAAAGCATGCCAATGACCAACGGTCTGCAAGGAGTATCAATCCTTCCATTCCCCACCCTTCAGTCCGATGTTAAGAAAGCTTTTTGAAGGAGAAGTGAAACGTCTTCCAAGGAAAAACAAGAAAGTCCAGTTGCTTCGTGAAAAAGCATCTTTGGGATACGATCTGAAAATGGTTCGGAAAGACGCCGCTGAGATCAAAAATCAAGGCCTACCTTCTTCCAGCTGTTTTTCTCTGGCAAAAAATCACCGCTGGGGAATTTTTCCCCATAGCATCCACGCTCTTTTGGACTTCCCAGGTGTACGGGTTGCTGGCTCGGATGCTGATCACTTTCACCCCTCTCTTCACCTTCACCCTGGGAGAACGAAGAGACTATATTAACAACGCGACAGGAAATGCCTTTTCTTTTTTCTTTTTTTTCCCCTTTCAATTGCTCCATCCGTCTTTCACTGTGTTCCTCATTAGTGGCTCTTCAAAAGCGCGGGGTCTCTCAAGGCAGACACTCTGCGATATGAGGGGGAAAAAAGGAGAATGTAATAAAAACCAGCTTACCTGTGCAGGGTCTTAGCCATCGTTCCCTTGAATGAACAATTTATTTCTCTGCCTGGCGCAGAAAAGACAGAAGGTAGGAGATACAACAAAGAGGCTCTGGGAGATACTTTTCTGAAGCTTGGGTTTTAGATTTTTAGCTGTGGTTTGTTCTCCAAGCTTGTTTTAATGTAATTCCTGAGCATTTCATGACCATTTCCTTCTTTTCTCCCTCCCTCCCTCCTTCCCTTTGTCCTTTCCTTCCTTCCTTCCTTTTCTCCCTCCCTCCCTTCCTTCCTTCCCACCCATCCATTTATCTTCCTTCCTTCCTTCCTTCCTTCCTTCCTTCCTTCCTTCCTTCCTTCCTTCCTTCCTTCCTTCCTTCCTCCCTCCCTTTGTCCTTTCCTTCCTTCCTTCCTTCCTTCCTTCCTTCTCTCCCTCCCTCCTTCCCTTCCTTCCCACCCATCCATTTATCTTCCTTTCTTCCTCCCTCCCTCCCTCCCTCCCTTTGTCCTTTCCTTCCTTCCTTCCTTCCTTCCTTTTCTCCCTCCCTCCCTTCCCACCCATCCCTTTATCTTCCTTTCTTCCTTCCTCCCTCCCTCCCTTTGTCCTTTCCCTCCTTCCTTCCTTTTCTTCCTCCCTTCCCACCCATCCATTTATCTTCCTTCCTTCCTTCCTCCCTTCCTCCCTCCCTTCCTTCCCACCCATCCATTTATCTTCCTTTCTTCCTTCCTCCCTCCCTCCCTTTGTCCTTTCCTTCCTTCCTCCTTCCTTCCTTCCCCCTTTTTCCTTCCTTCCCTTCCTTCCTTCCTTCTTTCCTTCCTCCCTCCCTCCCTCTCTTCCCTCCCTTTGTGCTTTCCTTCCTCCTTCCCTCCTTCCCACCCATCCATTTATCTTCCTTCCCACCCATCCATTTATCTTCCTTTCTTCCTTCCTCCCTCCCTTTGTCCTTTCCTTCCTTCCTCCTTCCTTCCTTCCCCCCTTTTCCTTCCTTCCTTCCCTTCCTTCCTTCCTTCTTTCCTTCCTCCCTCCCTCCCTCTCTTCCCTCCCTTTGTCCTTTCCTTCCTCCTTCCCTCCTTCCCCACCCATCCATTTAATTTCCTTCCTTCCTTCATCCCCATCCATTTTCCTTCCTTCCTTCCTTCCTTCCTTCCTTCCTTCCTTCCTTCCTTCCTTCCCATCCATTTTCCTTCCTTCCTTCCTTCCTTCCTTCCTTCCTTCCTTCCTTCCTTCCTTCCTCCCCATCTATTTTCCTTCCTTCCTTCCTCTCTCTTTCTCCAAGCTTAGTTGTTTCCTTGCTGACATTTCACTACCCAACTAGGTAACATCATCAATGCTCGGAGGGAGTGGGTTTTGCTCTTTGCTTATAGACAAGTGGCTTGGCCTTTCAGTGTCGGTGGGATTCCTTGATTAGGCTTAGAGAGCACCAAAGGACCCCACATGTTCAAATCAACATGGCTAGCCAGTCGGCCCTTTTTTCAGTGCAATTTCAAACGGTCGCTAAACGCATGGTTATAAGGCAAGGACTAACCTGTACAAGTATCGTTTTTTGAAGTAAACACTCTGGAAAACAGTTGAATTGTCCCCAAAAGCAAACTCATAGGCAAAATGTATCTCCAGGACTGAGACTCATCCTAAAACCTACATCTACGACTGCTAGGAAAATTGAAGTTGAACCGCCAAGAATCGTGGTTTTGTACTAACCATGCCCGTTCCACCAAATGCCATGTTTACTGGGGCGCTAAGAAGGTTTCAGATGGTGCCGTTAAAAAAATGCAAGTTTTTATTAATCTGTTTATTCCCAATGCCTGCTTTAAGAGCTGCCCCTGGCTTTGACCCAGGATTTTGTAGTTTACAACCAGTTTACACGCAAGCTCCCGGCCCATCATTACTGCAGGCTGGTAATGGCTGCGAAATTGTCACTTAAGTGTTGTGAAAAGTGGAACAGCTGGGTGGCAAAAGACAAAACAGTGCAGAAACATCACTCAGGGCCAGTTGTGTTCTCAGCTGAATTCACCTGTCTGCTTTTCTAACCATCAGAGACTCTGTGGGTTTTTTTTTTTGGTTTTTTTTTAAAAGAACGATTTGACCTGACTTTCTTTTGAAAATTATTTCGGCGGGGGAGCAGGCGAGAAGATCAAAGCAGTTGGAGGAGACGGAGAAATAGGTTGAAGAACGCACTGAAGTTTTGTCCACTTCCATTTCCACCCAAATCTTGCCAAAGGCCTCTGATTCTACCGTTCGAACAGATTCAGAAAGTCAACTGAATTTGATCCGATTATTTGAATGTGGAAACCAAATTTGGGGGAAAGCCCATCAAGCAAAAGAAGGAAACCGGCCAGACAGATTCAGACCAGTTTAATGAACCATATCAATCCATCAATTCGTTTTGGCCAAATCAGTTTGACATTCCAGATGAGCCTGGTGAATCTAAATGAATTTGGAGCATCAATGTCACCAGGGCTCGTTGCTTGTTCCTTGTCTGCAAAAGCCAGCCTTGGAGAAGGCTTACTAACCTTTTGTATACACCACAGTATAAAAAAAAGATGCAGAGGGCCTAGAAAGAGTGCAGAGAAGAGCAACAAAGATGATCAGGGGACTGGAGGCTAAAATATATGAGGAACAGTTGCTGGAATTGGGTATGTCTAGTTTAATGAAGAGAAGGACGAGGGGGGACATGATAGCAGCATTCCAATATCTCAGGGGCTGCCCCAAAGAAGAGGGAGTCAAGCTATTCTCCAAAGCACCTGAGGGCAGGACAAGAAGCAACGGATGGAAACTAATCAAGGAGAGAAGCAACCTGGAACTAAAGAGAAATTTCCTGACATTGCAACATCCCCATGGTCACGTGATCAAATGCTTGGCAACTGACTCGTATTTATGACAGTGGCCGTGTCCTGGGGTGGCGCGACCCCCTTTTGCAATCTCTCGACAAGCCAAGGCAATGGAGGAAGCCAGATCCACTTAACAACCCTGTCACCAACTTAACAACTGCAGTGATTCGCTTAACAACCCCGACAAGGAAAGTCGTAAAATGAGACAACGTTCACTTAACAAATGTTCCGCTTAGCAAGAGAAATTTTGGGCTCAAATTGTTGCCGCTAAGTAGAGGACTAGCTGTAGTTAGAGACCAAGGAGGAAGATAGGTTAAGTAGGGCTGGGCTCAAGGGTCAAGCTTTTAGGATCCAACTAAAGAAGGTAACATAAGCTTTGAAGGACAAAATTCCACTCTGGGTGTGTTCAAAACCTGATGTCAACACTGCTAACATTGGATGCTCTTGCTTTGACAACATCTGGAGATGCAGCCTTTTTCGTCCTTATGCTTTACTCTTAGAATTAGATGATGCTGGGGGAGGAGGAGGAAGGTGATGGGAGTTAGTTAGACATAACAATATGGTAATAGGGTGTGAATTCAGAGCTTTTGAAATAAGAGATGATAAGGAATGGAGGACTGGACAACAGGAGGGAAAGCCTGCATTTCAAACTAATTGGAGAATATGATTTATGACTGTTAATTAGAGGAGGGAATTGGGTTTGATACTGTGTGCTAAGGGGAGGGGAATCCAGATTTTGGCTATGCCACTCCAACAAAGATTCTTTGAGGTAAACAATGCCTCCAAGTTCTTTGAATTGTTTCATCAGTCGGAACCATGACACCTATGGCTTTCTACGACAAAAGGATGTTTATCACAGAATAGGGGGTAGAAATGAACAGCTCTGGGATGGATTATATCTTGATTTTGACTCCCAAACTCTTCTTTAGACAGTCTTATCGGCTTTATTCATTGCAAATCAAAATGGAAAACAACCCAGAGTCCCTCATTCTCCTAGTGGATTCCATCTTATTTTGCAGGAGAGTGGCCTAGCAAAATATAAGCTATTTAAAACTGCATAATGTACCCTCCGATTCATATTACAGTCTATGGTTTCTCCAGTCCTGGGAGACAGAAACCTGTTATCAATATGCATCACCATGAAAGCAGATTAAAATTAAATCAATCTGTTTATTTTATAGGTTTGCAAGACAGTTCTCTCTCCCTCCAAACCCAACATGTCCTTCATCTAATTAACATTTCAGCAGGAGAGGGAAGAGGGGAGGAATTGCAGTGTGCTCATGTTATCTTCACTCAGTGAGGGATATTAAAAAAAAAAAAAAAACCCAGGAGGCTTTCTAATTAAATTTAATTAGCGAAAGGCCACCAGCCCACTGCAAACTTACAGAGATGAACTTTGCACGCTGGTGTTGAACAAAGCAGAGATCTCAGCAATATCTTTCTAAGACAGTGTTTCTCAACCTTGACCATTTTAAGGCATGTGGACTTCAACTCCCAGAATTCCACAGCCAGCAATGCTAGCTGTGGAATTCTGGGAGTTGAAGTCCACATGCCTTAAAATGGTCAAGGTTGAGAAACACTGTTCTAGGAAGTCAAGCAAAAAATGATCTCACTGGGGATTATAGAGTGGGACGTGGGCACCCACATATCCCGAAAGGATTACTGGAGAAGCAGTGTTTGATTGGAACCACTGAGTCAATGGACTTTTGATATTCCACGAGTCTGGAAATTTAATGGAATTGCCATTGAATGGAGAAAGAGTGGGCCGAGCTGGGAGGTGGAGATCCTCTAACAAAAGAGGACAGGTGAGAATCCAAACAAGTCAAGTCTTGTTTGGCATGTATATAAAATAAGGGCCTGGAGACTAAAACACCTGAAGAACAGTTGCAGTAATTGGATAGGGCTAGTCTAGTGAAAAGAAGGACTAGGAGTGACATGATACCGTGTTTCCCCGGAAATAAGACCCAACTGGAGAATTAAGCCCTAGCATGAT